TATGTATATGTAATATACATATTGTATATGTATATGTAATGTGTATATATATATAATATATATATATATACATATATATATAAACACTCATGTGTCCTCTGGCTGGCCCTGGTCCCTCCGGGAGTCGTCAGCCATAGTTCTGATTGGATGATGATCCCCAGGGGCCAGTTTTCTAGGGCTGATCCCTCTTCCAACACAAAGTGGACTGGGCTAGCCAGATTCTCAGAACTATGGTCTTCTAACCACTAAGGTCTCATCACAAGTTGGCTGTGCTTACAGATGGTGCTGTTGAGCCATTTCAGTCATGTCCAACTCTTTGTGACCCCATTTGGGGTTTTCTTGCCAAGGATACTAGAGTGGTTTGCCATTTCCTTGTCCAGCCCACGTTACATGTGATAAAACTGAGGCAAACAGGGTTAAGTAACTTCCTCAAGGTCATCCAGCTAGTAAGTGTCTGATGGATTTGAACTCAGAAAGTTGAGTCTCCCTGATTCTAAGCCCAGTGCTCGTAGCCCACTGAACCACAAGCCACTTATCTCTGGTTTCTTTTTCTCACTTTGCCCTTATGTTGGGCCAAAGGGTAGATAATTGGTCATTACTGGGACTTGTGGACTATGGTAGATTGTGATGAAAAGTTTTGATCTGCCAGGTATGATGAAATTCTCAACTCTTTCTTAAACCTTAATTCTTTTTTTTTTGAATTTCATAGAAATTTACTTTTAGAAGTAAAAGCATTCAAAGTAATAAATTTTTATTGTAGAAGTGGTCACACAAACATTGCCAAGAACCATTATAATTACACACTGTGTTTAAATTAGAAACATCATTTATACACTAGTAAAAAAGGAATAACACCACTTGTAAGTTTGGGATTTTTCCCCTCAAGTAAAATGAAAATGACCAGACTGAAAGATTGTTGATGACTTAAGTAGGAGTCATGAGACCTGGATCCTAGTTCCAGTTCAGTCTTTAAACATCTGTGTCCTTATGCTAGCTATTTCACTCCTTTTGCCCTCAGTTTTCTCATCTGTAAATTGGGGATGGACCAAGCAAAGCAGAGTGGGATAGAGCAGGCTCTCCACCTGTGTGATCTTAGACAAATTACTCGATCTCACTGAACCTCAGTTTCTTCCTCTGTAAAACTGGTTAATTGGCCTCAACTTTGAGGTCCCTTTCAGCTTGAAATCTGTGATTCTATTCTAGGGTCTACAGAACTTAATTCTAAATAGTCTTTCCCCAGGCCATCTTTGCTGCCTCCTTCTTCAGCTTTGCTACATTTCTGCTCAACCAGAGCACTGGCCCCTCTAAGCCCTGCCTTGGTCCCTGGCTCTCTGGACGAGGGAGTGCATCCAACCCTACCTTGTCCTACTTTGGATAAAGGAGGAAGCCTACCCTGGCCCAGATATTGTAGCAGCATCTTTCAGCTCTGTCCTGTACATCTTTATGGTTCTGTGTCCTTGGAATTCTTGACCTTGTACATTTACCTGCAGCATATCAATTGCCTGATCATTAAGTCTGATTCATTCTGAGCTAGCATCAGGGCTTAGTTTCAATAAGTCCAGTATTATTGACAAATGTACTTCTTCCAAGGAGCCTGTCTATATCACATCAGCTCCTTCCACTGGCCAGAAGTAGATGCATTCTTCCTGATTCAGAGTCTGAATTCCCCTTGAAGTCATGTCTTAAGTTACTCTTTCCTGGCAGAGAAGATACCTTCAGCTCAAGACTCATGAGCAGAGCAGAGATCAAACCATTCTCAGCTCAGGTTATTCATTCTGCCCACTTCCCCAGGTCCCCACAGAGGAGAGCTAATTCCCAATCTCCTACCTATAGTTTTAGAGTATCATTAAACCTATTTTACCCTTAGAATGATAAGAGATCATTTCCACCAAATGAGGAGACTGAGGCCAAGAGGGGATGAAGTGATCTCACAGGTATTAAAAGACAGAGCTGGGATTTAAACCCAGGCTTTCTGATTCCAAACCCCGTACTGTTTTCATCTTACCATCCACTTTCCATACCACTTTTCCACTCTTACCATCATACTGGCTCTCTAAAGGGGAATCACTCCCTCGCAGATATAATCTCTCATCAGATGAAATCAAGGTTTCTTTTCTTAGAGTCTAGAATTATATCCTGAAAACAACAGAATAATAGGGGCTTTTTGCTGATGTAAGTTTTTCACTTCTTAGCAGGATTTGAATGAAAGCGAAGATGGTCTCTGTACCTCTGCAATGTGCCTATGAGGTCTGGCTATGGACTAACCAGTGTCTAGCACTTCATAGGTGCTTTATAAATGTTTGATGACTGACTGGTTGTCAAATAAGGAATTAAAGGCAAACTGATAGGTAGACTGGGTTGGTTATTGTGAAATAAGGGGCGGAGCTGGTATTGAGCAAGGGAAGCCAGCAAGATTTAATAAAGGTACAAGGCAGCTACATATGAAGGGGCAGAGGTTTACAGCTCAAGGGAGTCAGAGGTATGGACAAGAAACAAGGTTCCTCAGAGTAAGGGTCAGCCCTACAAAATTTTCTTGGAGCCAAGCCTAGAGGAAGTCAGGAGAGGTCATTCATGATTGCTCCAACAAGTCTCTTAGCTGCCGCTACCTTCGAGGTTGTGTTTCTGATCTGTCAACTTAGCCCCTTCAAGCCTGGCCAATGTAATCCGGAGGTAAAAGGTCTCCTTTCATCTCTAGTTGGTTTCTGTGTGTCAGAGTGCTGTTCTAGGAAAAGGGTCAGAGGAAAGAGTTGGAATTCTTCAGGGACTCAGAGCTTGGCACTTTAGCCTCTTTTTCATCATGGGCACTGTCTGCTGGGGCTAGCTCAGGGACCCTGTTACAGCACAAACATCATCAGGCTGTCCTGTAATTCTGCTGAGAGATTTTCTGGTGACCTTGTAATTCCCTGTCATACATCATTGAGAATCACTTCAGTTCATGCTGAACTTGTCTCCCACACTCCCCAGGACTCTGAAATAGTGCAATAACAGCAAATAAAAATGCTGACATACTAACCACAGAGTAGCATTTCTGGTCAGGGCACACACATTATGAAGTCTATATACGCGCTCTGCTTATTCGTGTTTAAAAGATTTTGAAGCAAAAACCAGACTAGTTCAAACCCATTGTACACTTGCAAAACTGCCCCCCAATTTACATGCCTCATCATCTCTTTTCAAGTCCACTGTAAATGATGCCTTTATAGGCTTAGAGTACTTTTAAAGACTCTTGAGAAGAAGCCTGGTGTACTGCCTAGACATCTAAGTGGTGCAGTGGATAGAAGGCTGGACCTTGAGTCAGGAAGATTCAGTTGTTTTTCAGTCATGTCTGACTCTTTGTGACCCCATTTAGGGTTTTCTTGGCAAAGATACTAGAGTGGTTTGCCATTTCCTTCTCCAGTTCATTTGACAACTGAGGAAACTAGAGGCGAACAGGGTGAAGTGACTTGCCCAGGGTCACAAAGCTAGTAAATATCTCAGTTTGGATTTGAGCTCAGGAAGAGGAGTCTTCTTGACTCCAGGCCTGGCACTCCATCCACTACACCACTTAGCCTTCCCCAAGAAGACTTGAGTTCAAATGGTTTCAGACACTTATTAGGAGTGTAACCCTGGGCAAGTAACAACCTCTGGCTGACTCAGTTTCTTCAGTTATAAGATGGAGATAATAATAGCACCTAACTCACAGGGTTGTTGTGAAGATAAAGTGAGATGATACTTATAAAGTGCTTTGCAAACTTTAAAGTACAATATAAATACTAGTGGGAAAAGAAGGAAGAGGAGGAGAAGGAGGAGGGGGGGAGGAGGAGGAGGAAGAGGATAACAACATCTACAACAACTGAACAATTTCACTGGGACTGAGAAAACCACATTTCAAGTACCAATTCTGACACCTCTTAGGTGTGTGACTGTAGGGAAATTGCATAGACTTTCTGAGCCTCAGTCTCCTCATCCATAAAATGGAGAAAACACTTGTACTACTTACTTTACAAAATTGTTGGGAGAAAAGAACTTTTTGAAACTTAAAGCACTATAGAAATGTGAGGTATTATTATTAAGTAATGAGACTGATACCACTGAGGATAGAGGCAGCAATCGGCTAAAATAACATGCCCACAATAGAGATTTACATTATAGCCCATTATATCAAGGGTAGTTGAATATCAGAATGAGTTTTACTGGTGGCTAAGGACCCTCCTTCTCTAGCTATTTTTAAGAATGTTTGTCTAGAATAACAGAAATAGTCTGACTGGCAGTTGGGTAGGGGGGCTCCATGAACCTCAGAAGTGCTTCTCTATGATTAGCTAGTTCTGTTATTAGCTAGTTTCTACTTGTTCCATGCAGATACTTACTTTGAAAAACATATGCTATATTGTAGCTCCTAATTGTTCCCAAAACAATTCTAGACAGCTAGATAATGCAATGGATAGAGCACTGGGCCTCAGATCATGAGGACATGAGTTTATTTCCAGCCTCTGACACTTACGAGCTGTGTGACCTTGGGCAAGTCATTTAACCTTGCTTGCCTCAGTTTCCCCATCTATAAAATGGGGATGATAATAATAGCACCTACCTTGCAGGGTTGCTGTAAGGATCAAATGATACAATATTTGTCAAAGGCACTTAACACAATGCCTGGCACATAGTAGGCACTATATAAATGCTAGCTATTATTATCAAAACAGAAATCCCCCCCCCCAAATGGGAAGTTGATAGGACATCATCCATTAATAAGCAAGCACTATTGTGTTGTGTTGTGAATTCTTGTCTTCGGAATCATTTGGGGCTGTGGTCATCTTCATCCTACTAGCACTAATTAAAATGAGATAACATATGTAAAACACTTCACACACCTTAAAGTGCTATATAAATGGCAGCTATTTTTTTTTCTGGTCCTAGAGTTTGTGGCATTTGAGGGGACAGACCTACTTTGGTAGAATGTGGTTCATGAGGAAGTATGACATATAATTAATGAAACAGAATGACTCATCTTACAATGCCTTTACCTCAGTATATTAGCCGTGGCTTTCCTTTCTTGGGGTAGAAGGTCTGGGTCTCTCAAGACTTCCTCCAGCAAATTTAGGACATTCATCTTTAGTTCATTGTTGAGTTCAAAATCCTACAAAATAAAAATAACTTGAATCTAAGAGTTTAAGATTTGAAATGGTAAGTCCCAAACTACGTGTCACCATTTTCCCGGTTACATTCCTATATAACCAACTGGGCCTTGGTTTATCCAGGTTATGTTTTTAAACAGTCTACACACGATAGAAGGATCTGTAAACTCAGCTATGGCATTTTCTTTGATTCTGCCATTGGGAATATGATGTATGAAGTAACTGATTCAATTCAACAAACAAATATTAAATGCCCACTATGTTTTAGCTGTCAGAAGCTATTGAATAAAAGGTAAAGGTATGAAGGTAAATTTGTATTTATTGAATCACTTAACAGGTACTTACTAAGCACCTTCTAGTGCTAGGCACTATGCCAGACCACATTTGGTGGGAGTGGGGGGAGGGAACACAAAGATGAATAAGACACAGTTCCTACACTCATGGAGCCTATGGTCTAGTTGGCTACACCTACTTATGCTGCCCTTTCATAGGAAAAGGACATGCAGTTGTAACAGTTTAGATTTTTTTTCTCCCTGAATATGTTTCATTATATGCTGCTCTTACCTTAAAGGTGAACTATTTTTTATTTAAAATGATATAAAAATGATTTCTAGCACATGTAACTACAAGTTTATAAATGAAAAAGCCCAAATAAAGGAAAGGAAAAAATAAATTTCAGTGTATTCTTGGCTTTGCAGAAACTAACCTACTTTGCAAATTCTCTACCACTGTAAATGTCCTTCATCATTCGATTAATTCCTGTCATTACCATGAGCTCACATGTCAGTCTGACCTTGGTTTTGGGGAGGAGTTACATAACGATGAGTTTTAAACACTCTACATGTCCATTTCACAATTCAGTGTCTGTTTCCTTGGGTACAGAAGGCACAGGGCACACTGAGTACTGAGATCAGGCATAACAAGCCAGCACTGTCCAATGGGACTCAGCCACTCATTTCTATTTCTGTTACATGCTGAAGGAGAGGAAAGTGCAACGTTTTTATTGCTATTTTCTCTATTCTGTTTTCCTTTTCAAGGTAGAATGGTTGGAAAGAAGATTAACCTCCAAAGTCCTTACTCTGGGTGTCCTAATAATAACATCTCACAGTCATGTCACACTTTACAGTTGGCAGGGCACCTTTCCCATAATATTAACCTGAGGGAGCAGGGAAGTATTATCCCTGTGCTCTAGATGAGGAAAGTGAAGCTCGGAGGTCACAGGATAACAACACTTTAGATTTACAGCCAGCAGGAACATTAGAGGACATCTAGGCCAACCCTCTTATTTTACAGGTGGAGTAGAATTAGCAAAAAGTGAAGTGACTCGGCAAAAGTCACCCAGCAGAGCCTGGATTGCAGTTTAGGTGCTATTCAGCGTTCTTTCCATGGCATCATGCTGGTAATGGGATGTCCCCATGGCCACACAGTTCACAAATGCCTGAGCCAGGACTCAAACCGGGCATTCTGACTCCAAAACAGATTTTCTCTACTGTATGTTCCCTCATCACCATATATCCTACATACGCTGTCTCTCTATCGGAGACTCTCACAGCGATTAGGGACCATTTTCCTTAATGCTAGCTGATAGGTGTTAATTTAACATGCAAGTCTTCAAATAGTTATGTTATATATTTATTAATGTAATTAATTTGGTTATAAGCCATGAAAAGGCAGCCAGCACTGGGATAGGGTGTAGTGGAGAGAGCCCTGGGCCTGGAGTCAAGAAGAATCATCTTCCTGAGTTCAAATCTGGCCTCAGACATTTACTAGCTGTGTGACCCTGGGCAAGTCACTTTACCCTATTTGCCTCACTTTCTTTATCAAATGAGCTGGAGAAGGAAATGACAAATCCCTCCAGTACCTCTGCCAAGAAAACCCCAAATGGGATCACAGAGTTGGAAATTACTCAAACAACAAAAGCCATGTAATGAAGATATATCAGGATAGTGACTTTGCCTATAGCTAATTAATCAAGTCAACAAACATTTCTGTGACCTGACAGAGGAGTCATAAGTGAAGTACAATAAAATGCTCTGGGAAAACTTCAAAGAAAAGCATCCTTAAGGGGGGGGGGTGCTCTTTTATTTATTTGGGGTTGGGTAGGTTACTCTAAAAAAAAAACAGGCTCATTAGGACTTCTCAAAACAGCACTTCTAATATGAGATTCCAACTGAGAACAGTTTCTGCTAAGAACTTATAGCTAACATAAAGCACATTCTCTAACAAAGGCCAGATACAGAGTATCCCCAAAGTCATCATGTCATTTTAAGCTTTGATTAGCTAAAACTGCATGAAGACTTTGGGGACACCCTGTATTTATGATGCAATTACCTACCATTCACTTTCCTAAGAATCCTTAATATTTCTATTAATTTGACAATTTTCATTATCTCAGCTGCTTGTACAGACCTAGAATCAAGAGTTGAGTTGAAATCCAGTCACTGACACTTACTAGTTGTGTGACCCTGGGTATGTCACTTAACCTCTGTTTGACTTAGTTTCCTGAATTGTAAAAGGGGGATAATAATAGCACCTACCTTGAAGGATTGTTGTGAGGATCAAAGGAAATAATATTTGTAAAAAGTGCTTAGCAGAGTGCCTGGCACATAGTAGGCACACTATAAATGCTTATTCCCTTTTCCTTCACTTGACTTAGTGATACAGGTATGCTGTAATGTATTAATGCATTACATAATTGTATGAATAATTATACAATGTATTAATTGCCTAATGATACCTGTTTACTAAGTAATACAATGTGTAATGATGCAGGTTATTATTCTCATTTTTCCATTGAGGGAACTGAGGGACAGAGAATTTAGGTGACTTGCCTAAGCTTTCACAGCTAGTTAAGTGCCAAAGCCAGGAACAGAATCCAGATTTTTCTGATTCATAATCTACACTGTTTTCCATTCTGTGCAATGAAAGGCAGAACAGACACTAAAACTGAGCCAAGAGACCTTATATCCTTCTATTTGCTTATTTCATCTAATCAACAATCTAAACCAATAATAGCAGCCCTATCACTGCTGTCTCATCTCCTGTGATTCCTGTGCCTATATATAAGTAAATCCTCAGGGGACTGACTCAACACACTGAAGGTCTGCCTCCCTCTGTTTCTTTTAATATTTTGTGGATGTTAGTGCAGAACACAGGTTGTCTGTTTATTATCTAAGTCATTATATGATTCTTGATTTGGGGGCAGAATGAACCTTATTAGAGGTCACCTGGTTCACCGCCTTCATTTTACAGCTAAAGACAACGTAGAATAAGGTCAAGAGTGCTGTTCACAGCCACACAGTTTATGATGGGATCTCAGACTTCGATAACAAGTCCTAGGTTTAGATTCTCATTTTGAAACTAGCAGTGTGAGGATGAAGTAAGTGATTTAACTTCTTAAACTCTGTAAAAATGTGGATGGGCCTTTGTAGGAAGTTACCATCAAGGACAATTCCATCTCTCAGTATTACTGCTCTGCAAGAAATGCTGAAAGGAATAGTTTTAGAGAAACCTGGGAAGAGCTGTATGAACTGATGCAGAGTAAAGTAAGCAGAACCAAGAGAACAGTTCATACAATGGCTACAACTCTATAAAGACAATTTTGAAAGAACTCTGCTCAATGCAATGACCAACCATGGATTTTAGAGGACCATATACCATCTATCTCCTGTCAGAGAGGTGATACACTCAAAATGCAGAATAAGACATACATTTTTGGACATGTCGATGTGAGAATTTGTTGTTGGCACATGTATCTCTTATAAGAATTTTGTTTTTCTTTTTCCTTTCAATTTGGAATGGAAGAAAGGAAAAGGAAACCCAGGAATCGGGAAGCATCCCTCTGAGAGAGAGAGAGAGAGAGAGAGAGAGAGAGAGAGAGAGAGAGAAAGAGACAAAGAGAGACAGACAGACAGAGACAGAGAAGAAAACAGAAGGAAGGCCCCAAAAGAATTATGGATAAGCAGAATAGCTTTGAAAGTTATATGTTAAAGTTATTAAATATTTAAAAAGAAAAGTAAGCACTAGATAGATAACAGAAATTCATGGTTTCATGTACAATTCTTTGTATTCTATAGTATATAGAGAAATTTTATTTGGTGTTTATTGAGTTCAGAATAAAGAAAAATGGGGAAAAATTCCATCCTTTAAATGGAGTAGAAGAGATAAGGAGAATTGTTATTCTGGACCCAATTCTGACTGATAAATAGGAACTGATGACTGAAATAGAGAGGACAAGAAGATTGGGGGCAAAGTTATATTGGGGACAAAATAGGACATAAGAAGGAAAGGACCCCCTGAATGGGATGATATTAATGAACTATTCAAGTTCTTTTGCTTCTTCATTTTCTTCCAAAGAGAATGGGACTTTGGAATCAGAAGAAAAATAGTTATTAATAAGGAGAAACCCCTAAGAAATCAATGGTAAGGCAGCCTCTAGTTGACTTTAATGAGCTCAAGTCACCAAGCCTGGACAAATTGTATCCTAGGATACTGAGAGAACAATACAGAAATATTCAATATGCTCTGCTGAAATGCTATAACAACTATACAGTAAAAAATCATCACTTTCTCATGCAGGAAGATGGTTGCCTTATTTCAGTTAAAATTAAAATATTAATAACATATGTGCCTAATATTTTGCATTTATCCAGAATTTATAACCTTGGCTAGATGTACCTTTTCATTGTTTATTTCTTATGACCTGTAAGTGAGCTCTATCCTCCACTCAACCTTGAAGAAAGAAACTGCATCCCAAGAGAAATAGTTCTATGGTCAGAAATAAAGAGATTGTAAAGGGCACACTTGATGGTCTAGTATTCCAATGTAAAATTCAAGGGCCAGCTTTTTGTGAGTTACATTAGCTGGGGATTCCACAAGGTGGTGCTCCTGAGACAGCTGGATAAAGCTCTATACACACTGAAAAGCTTGCCTAACCCTCCCCCCTCTTGTCTTACAGCTGCAAGCCTCCGGATGATTTGGAAGCTCCTTCTCTAACCTCCAG